ATCTGGGCTCGTCCATGAAAACAACCAAAAAAAAAAAAAAAAAGAAACAATAAAAATCAAATGCTGGATCCCCAGTGGGAGCCAGCAGTCCTCACTGCTGCTGTGGCCCAGCCTTGCAGTCTTCCCGGGAAGGGAAGGTGTCAGCTGGTGGGGAGTGACATGAAGGGCAGCAGAAAAGATGGCCACTGCTCCCTCATCCCTCCTCTCCCCTAGGGCCTCTCTGCCAATCAATGCCAAGGCGCAGGGCTGTACAAAGGGCAGCCAGAAGTGGAGAGGAGCCAGCCCCTCCTCCCTCCTCCCACCCTGGGGCCTCTCTGTCAATCAGTGCTGAGGGGTGGGGCTGCCACAGCACATCCCCAAAATGTCCGCAGAATTTGCTCCTTATGCTGCAATCAACCTGCAAAAATTGGTAAATCTGACTATGATTTAAGTAGACCGCTACTCAAAATGTAACGGAAACAGCCAGCATCCTGAGTGGAAAGCTCCTGTATATTAGCAGAAAGAAGAGTGCTAATGGGATGCTGCATTGATCTAGGGAACAGAAAATAATGAGGATTGGGTGTATTTTCAGTTCCTCTGTTTTCTAAAGCCTTACTTTCAGCTCTGGGAAGGTGCCTCCATACTCCCACAGTCTGGGAGCATGGGCCATTTTTTTTCCACAGAGTTTTCATGTATTTTGCGTAAAATAGCCAAGGGTGAAATGAGTACACAGACCTTAGAGCATGGACCAGAAACCATGATTCCCCCCTTCCAAGGAAGTACTTTCTTCCTAGGCTACAGGGTCATGCTCCTTCTTCCTTTCACTCTCCAGCTTATCACATTTTGAACTCTTTTTCACATAGAAAGAAAGGTTCAACAGAAGGGGCGGAGAGTGCTTCTGTTCCCACTGTCTCCCCAAGAATAGCCTCTGGTTTGGTCACTCTCCAGGGAAGTGGGAGCAGTGGGTTTTGAATTCCTTCAGGCAAAGGAAGGAATTGAATTCATAAGGCACCTGTACATGGGTTTTAATCTTCACTAAACTCAACAGGTTTATTAAAATTGGAACGGTGTGTTTTAATATGTTCCGTCACTGTGTACAAGTGACAGCTTTTAAATGAAATAAAGCTCAGTGCCCTATTCACAATAAATTACAGCAGGGGGCATAACATAACAATCCACCCTGCTGATCTTTTTGGTACACAATTACAGCAGGGGGCGCCAGCAAACCACTAGTCCCCTAATTCCTGGAATGCATACCAGCGAAACAACAGCTGCCCACAGGGAGCCCCATGCTTGCCCCGAGGCCTTGGCCCAGGCTGGCTGGAGAGGAGGAGATGCACACTGCCCGCCCCAGATGGTCGTGGCCAGGGTGCCATGTTGCCCCTGGTTCCTTGATTGTCAGGGTCGCTGTTGCCCCATAATCCACCCCTGTTTCATGCAAGGAATATAAAACTGCCTGGCCATTTTATGTAGATAGCCAGGAGTGGTTGCTTTTCCTGGTAAAAAGCAAACTGCGGGTGTTTGGTCCCAGCACTGCAGGCAGCAGGCAGCCCTAGAAAGTGGCCGCTGCCTACATGGATGCCCCACCCAGCATGGTCCTGGCCAGGGTGCCCGTCTGGACTGTGTTACCCCTGGCTCCTCAAGGAGTGCCTTGATTGCCAGGGGCATCATCACCCCATAATCTGACCCTGCTTCATGCAAGGAATATAAAACTGCCTGGCTGCTTTACACAGGTGGCCAGGAGCAGTTTCATTCCTTAGTCCTGCCTTAGTCACAGCGGCAGCTGTTCAGAGTTCAAGTAAGCATGGGAAGCCACAGCTACCCACAGGGAGACCGCCCCTCCCCCACCTCTCCCACTGTCACCGCAGCCTCATCCCTGCCACCACAGACAATGTACTTATGAGACAGAAAGAACTGTTGTGTTGCAATGAAAGTTTTATTTTTGTTCATAGAAACACTCGATGGTAACAGTAACATATCCATGGGCCTGGATAGAACAGCCTCTTTCTGCAGCAGCCATAATGTATGCAGCCAGGCAATTCTACACAATAGCTGCCCAACCAGCATCTGCATGCTGATGGTGGGGGGCGCTATGCACTACCCACCCACGTCTCTGTCTGCCTGCTGCCTCCTATGATTCCTCATCCCAAAACTCATTGAATACCTCCTCCCTGGTCTTGTAAATATTGTGGAGCATGCAGGCTGCCACAATGAAAGTCGTTATGCTTTCAGGCTGCACCTCGAGCCTATAGTTCAGTGACTTCCACTGTGATTTCAGGTGGCCAAAGGTGCATTCAACAGTCATCCTGCATTTGCTGAGATGATAGTTGAATGCCATTTTCTGTGTGTTACTAATGTGTCCTCCATATGGCTTCATGACCCAGGGCCAGAGGGGTTAATCCATGTCTGCTGTGGTAAGTGGGGTACAGCAACACCCCAGGTCACTGCATTAGGAACCCCAGATCCATACAGTATTGTCCTTTCTTCAGCATACGAAGCAGTGGCAAGTTTGTAAAGACATGCATATCATGTGCGCTGCCTGTCCAGCCGGTATAAATGTTAGTGAAACAGTCCTGGTGATCCACTATGGCTTGGAGGATCACTGAAGCAAATCCCTTCCTGTTTGTGAATGACCAGCTTGCCTGCAATGGGGATAACACCATGGCCTTGAAGTCTTCAACAATTTTCATGGGGTTATGGAGGCAAATAGTGTTTTTTGCTGCAACATACTGCAGCAGCTGGCATACCTCACGTATTGCCACCCTGGCTGTATGAGGAGCCATACCAAACTGGTTCCCAATGTGGTGGAGGCTGGTGGGGGTGGCCAGTTTCATGATAGCCATGGCCACCCTCTTGTCCAGTACAATGGGCTGATACATGACAGTCTGCTGCCTCACAATCTGCAGCCCAGCATCGAGACTATGTGCTGAAATGTCTCCCTGCTCATGCAGAACATCTTCAGCCACTGTTGTTCATCCCAAGTCAACAGTACAATTCATTCCCACGAGTCAGAGCTGCTCACATGGGTCCAGACCCTGCGATCGTTGCTCTTCAGGTTGATCCACAGAGCCCTGTCACTCAGCTGCAATTTCCATGGCTGCCTCTCTATTCTGCCACTCCACTGCACAGGCTAGTACCTGGTATAGTCTGGCATGATTAGGTTCTGATGTGTCTTTGCAACTTTGTAGAAGGTTCATCATACCTTGCACTGTGGTCAGTAGCAGGATCTCTGCATTATTGATTGCCTCCATTCTGTGGTCGGACATCTGCAGGGCATCCAACAGCATTTGGTTCTACTCTCTCAGTCCACCAGGGTTCATAGAAGCTGCTTATAGGTAGCTGTTTTGCTCACAGCACCACCAAAGTGCACTAAGGGGGGCGGTAGGGGTTGAATAGGTAGGGCTTTTGAATAGAATCTGTTAGCAATGTAACAGCCATACTAATTACCCTTCAATTCATACACAGCTCATGAGGCCTTGGGTTGGGTGTTGCCTCAGCAGAGCGTTTGTCCTGCAGAGAGAGACGCGGGGAGCAGGGCATGTCCTGCACATCCTGGAAGAACTTGTGTTGTAGGATGACCCTAGAAAACCATCATACACCCAGGGGAGCAGATAATGGTGTTTAGCAGACCAGTGAATAGGCCCACCAAGAAGTATCACCCATCAATGTACCCACCGTGGAATATGCCATGGAAGAAATGTGGGTTTGTGGTGCCAGCACTATTTTTTAATAACTAGCTACCTACATCAACACCTATGCCTTTGTCAACAAGCATCGCACAACTATGGTGGCAACAAAGTGAGACCTCTTTTGACTAATTCTGGCCACAAATAAATACTCAATGGTGACGCTGAAGAACAAGTCAAGTCTGCAGGGTTCGGAGCCAGAGCCAGATACATCTACAAACTGGGGCCCCAACTGGACCCAGGAAGAACTTAAAGATTTGGTTGGAAGAAAAGATCATTGACCATCTGGAAAATAGACAAAATAAGCCAGTTTATAGTGCCATTGCCAAAGAAATGAAGGCGTGCAGGCACAACCAGGACTAGACACAGTGTCACAGCAAGATCAAGGCCCTGAAATGTGCTTTTCATTGGGCCAAGGATGAGAATTCTCTTTCTGGGTCAGGACGCACAATTCTATGACCAGCTGTCTGTCATTCTCACCAAGGATGCAGGTAAGACTTGTCTCCATTTGTTTGGGACAACAGGTTTTCCAGAGTCCACACCTAGCCAAGAGTCCACAGATTGTCCTGCCTCTCCTTCAGGAAACATGGCAGAGGCGTGGAGTGACTCCTCACAGGATCTTGGGGATAGGGACACCCAAGATTTAGTTATCCTGACCATGGAATAACCCCCCACCCGACTTGGCTGCAGAACACGGAGGAGGAGGAGGACACACTGGATGCAACTCTGGTACTGTCGTCCCCCCCCAAACTCATGTGACACGGGAGAAATTCCAGAGACCCAAAGATAGGTTTTGGTGCCGGAGATGCCAGAGGATCCATACCCAGGGACTTGTAAGTTTTGGGGAAGGGGCATTATATCAATTTGTGGGACTAGCAGGCACTCAATGTTTTGCATGTCAGTGGATAACCAATACCCAGGAAAAAGCTTAATGGGTACTTTGCGTCAGTCTTTCATGAGCCCAAAGGGACCGCCCTCCCTAGCATGATGTGTGACGACCAGGGTGAGGGTGTATTTATACCCAGCATTGGTGTAGATCTTGTAAAAGAACACCTTGAGAGGCTGGACACCTTCAAGTCAGCTGGTCCTGACAAATTACACCCTAGAGTACTCAAGGAGCTGGCAGGTGTCATAGCCCAACCATTGGCAAAAATATTCGAAAATTTGTGGCACTCAGGTGAAGTACCTGAAGACTGGAAGAAGGCCAATGTAGTACCCATCTTCAAGAAAGGGTGGAAAGTATATCCCCGGAATTACAGGCCAATCAGCTTAACCTTAATCCCTGGTAAGATTCTGGAGAAAATTATCAGAGACCTTTCTTGATAAGATGGCTGATGGCAACATCCTGAGGGACAGCCAGCATGGGTTTGTTGTGGGCAGGTCTTGCTTGACCAATTTCATTTCCTTCTATGATCAGGTGACATATCACTTGGACAAGGGAGAAGAGATTGACCTCATATATATGGACTTTAAAAAAGCCTTTGATTTGGTGTCCTATGATCTCCTCATGGAAAAATTGGCCAACTGTGGCCT